TCGGGTTGAAGGAGTAAACTGAAATCTTTAATCTGGCCACTTTGCTGCAAATTGGCCAGGTTCTGTGCCGCATGCCCTAATTCCAGTAAACTTTCGGCGTAGATCCGATTATCTTCATTGCTGAAAGATCCCTTACGTTTTGCAGTCTCTTGTATAGCGACCAAACGGGCCGCAGCTATTTGTATTCGGTTAAAATCCTTTTCGAAAGCGGTGGTCGCAGAAGCTATGTCCTGAGATTGACCATTACCTGTGGACATGGCTTTCTTTGTTAAAACTGGTACTACGCTGACCTGAGGGACAGCTGGAGCTATGATAAACGTATTGTCGTTTCCATCTTTGGTTCTAACCACTTGCAAGATTTGGCCACGCATACCACCATAATAAGGGAATGAGCTTGCTTCGAAAACTATGGGACCTTTTGAGCGCTGGCTATTAATTATTTTTGATAGGATGGATTCATAAAATAATTATCAAAAACACCACTCAAAACAAACTTCAAACTACAAAGCCAAAAGGGTTCTAATAGAAAGCTTTCAGCATATAAATACATATATAGAAAATGTTCTTACGCAAGGACTTCAACATAGGCAGGTAGGTAACTAGATGGCTTTATAATACAAATGCAGAAATTGAGCACTAAATACAAATTTCTATTACATATTTATGTATGTATGTATGTTCTATATTTACAATTATTTACATCATAATGATCTTAACAAATAGAAGCTTATAAATACTTAAGTGTATGTACATATGTACAACAGCAGAGTTTTACTTTATTTCCGCGAGTCCGAGTCCACCAAATCGAGCTCCAAGTCGGCCTGAGCATGCGCTTTGCCACCAACTCCGGCTATGGCCACAGACTCGGGACTGAAGTAAACGTTGGTGGGAACTCCCCGTTTTAGGAAGGCCTTCGAAATAGGTGTAGACACAGCCGTGCCACCATTTCCTACCACAGCTTTTGAATGCGGTTCCAGTATTAATGTTGAAGTCTTTGTGATATCTTTTTGGGTGTGTGCTTGGTATGGAAGAAAGTAAGTACCGAACGGTATTTCCGGTATTGTGCCCGAAGTGGCTGTGCGCCCGTGAGCTTCCACTTTTATTACTTCACCGTTTGTTGATATCGGCACCGATAATGAAGGTTTTGCTTTGCGCAGAGTCGATTGTTTTTTCGGTGAAGCTGTGCTTTTTGATACCAACTTAGGAGGCGCCTGTGAAACTGTTGATAACTTAAGAGGCTTTTTGTACTTTTGCGCCGATATCGCCGAATCTATGTGTTGGCCAGGGACAAAAATTATTTCTTCAATCACGAATTCCGGGTTTATTTTCTGCACGGCTTTTAAAAAACGCATATCGCTTTTGAAATCCGCCCTACCTGTGAATGGGTGGGTGTTCATTACAAATTGCTTTTGGATTCCTTTCGCGACTCTGGGCGCTGATATTTCGATTGACTTTGGTTGACTCGATATTTTTTCTTTGATTTCTTCGTAATCTTGACCTCTTGCTTTATGAAGGAGTTTTCCGGTCCCTTCTGCGCTTAAAAGTGGCAACGAAATGGAGGGTAAAGCTAAATTTCCATTGTACATTGGTTCATTAATCTGCAGATATCGATTTCTTTGAAAAACGTCCTTCGTTTCGAAATTTGGAATTTGATGAACTACGTTATCAGGTTTGAAATTCGCAGCTGGTGCCACAGCTAAGGCGATGGGGGTTAATGGTGATGTTCGTATGACAAGAGGATTTGGACGAATCGTCTCCGGCCACGCTTGAATGCTTGCAGTTTTCCAAAGGATGCTGGTATGTAGTTTATGTGAATGGTAGTAAGCCAATGGCGATGGATGGACGAAGGAAAATAAAGTTTCACAAATGTAAAAAAGGAAGAGAGTACGAACAGAATGAAGCATGAGTCCTTGTTAATAATATATACAATAACAATATATGGCAACACTACCTGAGGGAGGCAATGAATGATTTGTATTTAGCGTGCGAAAGATGGTAAGGCATTAATAATAGATAAGTGGTGTGATGTTAATCATGAAAATTTAGTGCTCAG